ATTCACATTATCTCCATCTGATATATTATCTTTAATATTATAATTCAATTTATTATATATTTTCAAAGAACCTTGAGCTTTTTTTGAATTATTTACAAAATATTTTTCTTTTAAGTATCATGTAATTTGCATAATTTTGATAGTTTTTTTTAGTGATAATCTATTATGCCATTCTGTATGTATATTATCTATAAGAGACCATACCCTTTTCAAAGTTGCTGAGTTTAGTGGAATTGAAAAAAGTCTACAAGCAAATTCAGCTAAATTTAGTGCATGAAGTAGGACAGTTTATCAATATTTTAATGGAATTTTGGTAAATTTTAAATTATTTAAAGATTCTGCTTTAAAAGAATCTTTCTTATTTTGATAATTTAACTATTATCTATAAATGCATTATTATTTTTATCTGAATATAATATACAAAATAATGCATAAGCATCTTCTTAAATTTGTAATAATTTTGGTGGATTAATTCCTTCAATATGATGATATGAATGCAAAAATCAAGTAATGTGAAAAATTGGATTATAAAATTTTCTCTATCAATTATCAATCTTATTACCCATTAAAGTTTTAAATTCTCTTTCACTAGAAAGTAATTTGTTAATAATTTCTCTTAATATTGCTCATATAGCTACAACTTGTCTAAAAGTAGCTTGTTCAGATTCTAAAATCAATAATAATATGATATCACTAGATTTATTTTCATTTATCTTAATGTTTAAGTTGAAAGGCTGTGGCAGCTGATTCTACACATTAGAGTTTCTGATCTTAAGATTTTCTCTAAGTCCTACAGGTATCCGTTATACTTGAATCAACTCGGCAATTTATCACATCTTAGAATTTAAGATATATTTAATTGAACTTATAATAACAAACTCAATAACAAGTTAGTATAGTATATTACAACAATCCTAAATGAGGGATAACGTTAAAAAGAAAAGTAATTTATGTGGATTTAAATTGATTCCTTTATTTATAACTTGAAATTCGCAGAAGAGTTTTATAAACTTACAACTGAGTTCATTTACAACTTAAGTAAAAAGCTATTCTATTTATACAAAATGACTTTGCTATAACTAGCTACTTGTTACACTATAAATTAACTAAATATAGATATATGTTTCAATAAAAATATACTTAAATATAATAAAATAATAAAAATAATAAAAAGAAATAAAATAAGTTATAAACGTTAAAGAAATTATAAATGAAATAAATTAAACAGATTAAACAGACTGTTTAGAAAATACAGAAGAAACAAGCATATCAGGTAAAACAGAAATTATTGCTGATCACTGTTTGGCACAGCAGTAATATCATCTAACGTGAGGTCATTATTGATTGACAGATCCCATGTGATATTTGGAGTTATAATTTCTTCTGTTGACAATGATTATAAGGTTTAATAAATCATAAAATATTATAACAGTCATGAAACATGTCTCTCTTGACGATCTTGATAGTAATTAATTTTTGTGTAATGTATAATGCTATGATTTTCTTGTATAAATACTTCAATTAGCTTATTACAAATGATACTTTGACTTTAGACGAGTTTTATTCTTCAAATTTTATATTTTTATTTATATTAAAAATATACTTGTTGCTTAACTTTATATTAAGTAAAACTTAACTTGAAAAATGCTATTTTTTAACATAAATTTCAAGATTCTCTTTCAAGTACTTTAATTTTAAGCTAGTTTTTTTTTAAAGAATTGTAAATAAAGAGCATTTTAAAAGATATTATTGATGTAAAGATACTTTACTTATGACTTTTAGATGTTTATTTATAAATATTGTAATATTGAAATAATAAAAGAAAATTCAGATATGTATTTCAACATATTATTGAAGTATAATTAAAATACATTTATTATATGTAAGTACCAGTTTAATATTATTTAATTTTATTTTTAAATCTTGTAGCAGTTATTTCTTAAATACTGTTTAACTCTTTCAGCTATCCAGTCTAAAGAAATAGTTTGAAGCTCTAACAATACTTTTGATATTGCAATTTTAGGTAGTTTTTCTTCAAATTCAAATAATTAGTCAAGTATAGCTTTTTTTGCATTTATAATAGTGTGACATAACTTTTTTGGATGGCTAATATCAGAAAATAATAATGCCTGTTATAATGAAGATAAAGTATTCTGTTGAATAATTAATAGATGAATAGGATTATCTACTTTATTTTTTTATTTTTTATACCCTTAGGTTGAGTATAAGTGTAATAACTTACATTTCAAGTACAATGTCCAGCAGTTATCAAAGATTCAGTTTTGTATACATTCTGCATAAAAATTTGTTAAAAGCGTGATTTACCAGATTCATAAAAGAAAGTATATTATTAATACCCTTTTTATTAAGTTCTGATGCATTTTCAAATAGATAGTATGTTGCAGGATTTGGATAATCAAATGCAGATAATAATTTTGTAACTAAGAATCAGAGTGAATCTTTATGTGATTTGATTGCACAAGCATTCTGACTCATCATAACATTACTAGTGTATTTTGCAAGAAGTATTAATAAATGATTGCATTTACTTTGGACTGCTTTAATCTTCAATATCATAGTTAGCTAATTAGTAAGATTTCTAGTAATATTTTACTTTATAAACTTTACGTCATATATTTTAAGTGCTTCATCAAAATCTAAATAATATTCTTCACTTGATAGGTTTACTGAACATACCATTTGTAATAATTTTTGTAGTTGTAGATCATTATGAACTTGAGCTAAAAAATACGTTACAAAACTTGCGTACTTAAATTTTCTAGCTATAGAAAAGAGAGGTATGAATACTGCTAAATTTGACATCTGCATTTTATAATTTTCTCTTCTAATTTCAATTTTATGACTTATAAAATATCCTGTCTAATAGAAAAAAAGATACCATACCTTTATGAATTAATTATTACTCTTCAAAATATCCTTTATAATTTCTCCTTTATTTTTTACATGTTGACATAATGCAATTCTAACTGCGATCTAAATTAATTCCAATACAAAATATATTGCATGATAATCTATAACACATTCAAATTTATCTAAATATTATATACCAAGGGTTACTGCAAAGTTGAATATTCCATATCCTGAAAATATTGTGATTAAAGTGCTACACATATCTTTAGATGTATGTCACTATTTCAAAAGAAGTCGAACATCCTCATGAGTTTCTTTATAAGAGATTAATCTCCCAAAAATTGCTTGATCACATGCAATATATAGATGGTTATCACTATCACAAGATAAATCATTACAGTACATTTCATATGCTGCATGAACATTTTTATTACAATTAGATATATCACTGGATTCTAATATCACAACATTTAGTGGTAAAGTATTGCAATTTATAGGTATTTGCTTAATAATTTCTAAATATATATTTTCTATATTAAATTCATTTATACAAGTCTTTAACATTATATTCAAAATATTCTCATACATTATTAAAAGTTATCAGTAGTTGAAGACGTTCCAAATAGTGTTAATTAACAGATTCATAGTCTTCAATTAAATATTAAAAGAGGTTGAAATCATAAATTAAAATAATATTCGTAATGTTACATGTGAAATTTATCATATAATATCAAAAATATTGCTATATGAGCATGTAGAAGCTTTAAAATCAATATTGTTAATTACTACTAAATTTCAAATATTTGATTCTTTAATTAAATTTTCTTTAGGGTCTGGTATGATGCATTCTAAAATATTCAAGATGATTTTCATATCTTTTAGTATAAGATATAATACATGTTAAATGAAGGTTCTCTTGTAAATATGATAGCAATTTTAGTTTTTGGCATAATGATTATATAATATGTAAAAGCCATATTTTTATTTTAGGAAAAGCAATAGTTAATATTAAGAAGGTTAATAAAGTAGTGGTTTTTGATATTTGATTTATATTAAATGATTTTGAAGAAAATTCACATTAAAGTTTTTTCTTATTAACAACATTTTATTTTTATTGTTGTAATACTGTAATAAAAGCTTGAAAGAAATTGCAAATAGTTTAGGTAATGTATCAAAATAGTTTTCATATGAATTTAAATTTTCTAATTGGTTAATATTTTGTTGAATTTCAGAACATAAAAATAAAACCTTTTTTTCTAATTCTTCTTTCATTATCGAAGCCTTTTCTAGAGTTAAAATATGAGACTTTTCTTTTATTAATTTATTTGATTCAACTTTTCCAATTTTTAATATTATTCTAATAAGTAATTTGCTTAGAAGTTTTGCTACTTTCATTTCTGATAGATTTTTTTCCATTATTTCATTGTTAAAAATAGTTAATGAAAAGCTATTAGAGATAGAAGTTTTTTTGTAATATATTATCATCTGACTCTACTACTGATATTATCCATTTTCTGATATGCCTTAAAGCATCACTTGTATCATCATAATGTTTCTCATATTCAATACATAATACATATTTTTGACCTTTGTCTGGTCTTTTATACAAATATCCGCCTTATTGTTGAAAGTATTTTGAGCAAATATAACACATATAATAGCCTAAAGATGACTTTTTTACAATCAATCTTTCAGTAAATGCAGAATAGTTATGAATACTAATACAAGGTACTTGGATATTACATTTATTAATACTCTATAAATTCTTTTTACAGCTGTTATTATGACTAAAAAAACATTTTTTATATTACAGAAAATACAGAAGTGAAAATGAACAATACTTTGTTTAATTGAACATGATTGTTTCATGTCTTTATTATGAAATTGATTCTGATTAAAGAGAAAATAATAGTAGCATACTTCAAGCGATTTAGATTATTTTTAACATCTTTGACTACATTTGTATCTATCTTTCATATTCCTATCAGTTATTCCAGTCATCATAAATTTGCTATACTATTATAATGTTTTATTTTACCTTGAATAGTATCTACAACTAAACATAATGTTAGGTCTAGATTTTACACAGAGGTCCTTTCGATTTCTATATCTATGTCATCATTAATTATTTAAAAGGAATTATTATGATCAGAATTTTCAGATTCTTCAAGTTCAACCTCAATTTCACTCCAATCTATATCATCATTTTCATCATTATTTAGTAGGACTCAAGTACTTGTAAGGGTAATTTGATCAATATCATCTTCACTTTTTTCTTTGAGAGTGTTAGTGTTATATTCCTCAAAATCTATAAAAGTAAATTCTAAGTCACTCATTATTATTTGCGAAAACTTGATTGGAATATTTATACCAAAGATATTTTATGATAGATTTATGAATTTATAACAAATATAATAGATAATATAAGAAGAATTTAGAAGAGAATTGGCATTTTTATTTATTAATATTTAAGGAATTCAACTACTTTAGGGGCAAGCAAAAAGCTAAGTTTATTTATACTATTTAAAATTATCTATTTATTTTTAGGCCAACAGTCTTCTTGACATTAACTGTTAACAGTTAATTGTTAAAAATATTAATAATAGGACGAAGCTAATCTGAAAGTTGTCAAAATAATGCAAAATGTAACAATATCCAAATTATTGAATTGATGATATAAGGTTCAAATATCAATAATATCAGATTGTAATGGATTCAGTTTAGTAATCAATTATTTATAGCATAGTCTGTAATACATATATAATAAATGCAAGATTGATTTACATTTTATTATTAATTATTGAGATTTATTTATTTTTATTTTTATTTATTTTATATATTACATTATTAACTTATACTATGACTTCTTTTTTATAATTTTTTTTAATTATTAACTAACTAACAACTATTATTAAAATTATATATCATTCTCATATAAATACCATTCTCGTGTAAATAGATTTATTAATTCTTAATTTATGAATCTGAATTAGGTTCTTAAGATAGATATAACTTGTTTCTGAGTGGATTTAGCAGTTTTCAAGTTATCATAAGACTATATAATAAAAGGAGATAATTAGTTGACTAACTAATTAATTATATAAATAATATTTACTTTATTTAATGCTAATTCTTTACTAATTATTTACGCAAATGCTCTATATTTGATATTACCTGGTTAATAAAATATTTTTCTTTTCAAAAATGTATTTTTAGCTGCTAAAAGGTTTTAAATATAAAAATTTTTATGTTTTAATATTAGCCTAAAGAAATGTCTTAAAGTTAGAAAAATAGGATCTGTTTGGAAGTTGATTTGTCAAATATACTTTAAATTTGAATATTAAATGGACTAGACATATGGCTTTTCAAAAGAAATTAATAAAATGAAGGGATAATATATGTATAAATGATTCAAAAAAGCCATTAAAGTAATAAAAATCATATATTATAAGGTTAGGATACTCTAACTTTAAATAAAGATTCTCTTTAAACTAAAAAAACAATAAAGTTGTGACTTTTACGATATAATAAAGAAATATCACAAATATATTTTTGTCAAATATTAATTAATAATCAGTTTCACAAACATATGATTTTCATAGAAAAAGCCTTTTATAAACGAAAAATTTTCATATAAAAATTGAAGTGATCAACATCTAATTATCATATAAATAACATTTTGACCCATATATCAGTGACATATTCTATGATTGATAGTGTAATTAATTCACTATTCAACTTTAAATATCAACCATCTTCTGCTATTAGGCATTCTTAAATATGAAAAAGATATTTTTTAAGATTTATATATATATATATATTTTTAGTTACATTTAATGCTGATTCTATTTCATTTTCACCCGCCTAAAAATATAATATACAATAATGGTTATAAGTTTCCAACCACCTGAGATTATCTAAAATTATTATATAACTACCCTTAAATTTTCTAGAAATATAATATAACACAATACATGATTACTTGTAAATTTATAAGTGTCAATGATACAAAAAAAAAAATTTAGATAATCATCAAACTTTTGCTTGAAAAATGAAACTTTCTTTAAAGAAACAATATGAAATTGTTTTTTTACATGAGCATCCAGTTGGTTCAAAGTTTAGTTTTAGATTTATTGCTAAATAGGTATGTTGTAGTAAGTTTATAGCTATTTATTGAATTAAAAGATATCATAAAAATCAGGACCTAAGTACTTCAAAAAGACCAGGACAACCTTGTATAACATCTGTAAAACAAGATGACAAGATTGTAAAGATGGCAGAGAAAGAACATAATATAACAGCTATTTAAATACAAGAAAAAATGGAAGAAAGAGGTATTGAACTTAGTGTAGAAACAGTAAGGTAACGTCTTTGTAAGTCTGGAGAAAAGTTTAGTAATGAAATTTCTAAACCTTTATTTAAAGAAGACTATTAAAAGAAAAGGTTGCAATGGGTAAAAAAAACATAAGAATTTTAATTGAAATTAAGTTGTTTTTACAGACAAGAGTACATTTTAATTATATACAGAGGGTGAATAAAAGTTTTCAGACTTTTATAAATGTGATTTAACAAATTTTCATCATATAATTGTGATACTATACTGCAGTTATATAACTATCTATTGTTTATTTACATAATCAAAATAAAAAAATTTGTGTTATTTTTGTTGTTTTGACTTAATTCACTTAATTTCTACCAAATCGAAAAATAATGAGACAAAATAAAGAATTAACTAAAGAATAATACAGAGTCATATTTTACTTGACCAGCCTAATGTCTTGATCTTAACCCAATTGAAAATTAATAGGCTGATATTAAAAAAAATATTTGTGCATATAAAAACCTACCATCAAATTTTTCTGACCTCAATTGCTATGTTAAAAAGGCATAGCGAGAAATTCTAAAGTGAATTTAGGCTGTGATTGCAGCAAAGGGAGGCCCAACTAAGTACTAAAGTTTAATATGAAATATATGCTTTAACTAGTTTTAAATAAAATAATATTAGAATTTTTACTATTAATGCTAAAGAATTATAAGTTTTTTATTTGATAAAAAAGTGTCTAAAAACTTTTGTCTACCTTCTATACATCAAAAAAAGGTTTGGTAGTTTCCTGATAGAAAAAAAGTGTTTTGTTCTGTTAAGTATCTACTAAAAGTTCATGTTTAGAAATGTTTTTCTGCTTCTGGATTTGGTAAACTATTTTGCTTTTAGAGAAATCTTAATACTGAATTTATGTGTACTATTTATGAACAGGGTCTTCTGACTTTCATCTCTAAGCTTTTTGGTGAAAATAACATAGATTGGATCTTGTAAGAAGATAATGATCCAAAGCATCAATCGAAAATCACAAATAAATGGAAGAAAGAAAATGGCATTGAGGTACTTTCTTAGCTATCAATGTCTCTAGACTAAAATCCTATAGAAAACGTTTAAAGGTTAATAAAAATTAATATACAAAAAAAAAATTCGATCAATTAGAGGGTTAAAGGGAAAACTTACAAAAGAATAGAACTGATTATTATCTGTACTTGCTGTGAATTTGGTAGCTAGTATAAAAAGGCATACAGCTGCACTTATAGAGTTAGATGGTGATTACACAATGTATTAATTTTAATTAGTTGGTTATGTATTTTTTAAATAAAAAAATTTTTTGAATTTACTTATTTATAGCCAGAGTTAGAAACAATTGGATACTTATGACTACTATTGTATATGAAAATATTAACAAATATAATAATAAAAATCATGTATAAATTATGCTATTACACTTACTATCAAATTATTTGTATCTGAAACTGAACTTCTATATGTAATTGCTTTACATTTTGTAACTGTTTTTTCTTGATAAACAGACAACTTAAAAGAGTGCTTTTTAGGAGTAATTGTAAAATAAGAGGGTGAAAAACCACATCAAAAATTATTTATAATTGCACATTTTTCTACGTTTAACTTCATCTACAAATGCTAAAACAGATTCCTTTAATTTTAAATTAAAATGATCAGCTCTAACACCTTTAAATAGCTAATAAGAATAAAATCCTATCTTAATTTTTTCTCATGTTTTCAGAAATTCTTTAGAAAGAATTGCCTTTTCAATTTGACCAAAATTATTTACATCATTCAAAATAAATGAAATTGATATCGTACTTTTAAGTTTTTTTCTTAATTTTTAAAACTGATTAAAACATACTAAAGGAATATAAGCTAATATTATATAAAATAGATATGTTTGTATTATTTTAATATCTAATCGATATGATAATTTTTGATTAATCAAAGATTTACTTAGAATAATTTGCTTTTACTTCTATCTTGTATTCTAAATGGATGTATCAGAAGTGCTCACTTCAGGTATATTAAGATCTTGTGATGATAATGTTTTAAATAAAAGCTATTTAGTAAGATTAATGATATAAATATTATCAACGGTATCTTCATTAATATCTAAATCAATTACTATTTTTTTACTATTCAAATTTGATCTAAATTTAATTTTCCTTGGTTGATTCAATACTTTAAAAAATTAATAAAGATAAATACAGTTTTTGTTATATACTTCTGTGCATATTAAATAAGTTAAGTATAAAGGGCAAGCATTTAGATGATATTGTAAAGGGTTTATTTGTGCTATTTTTATAAACAATATACAATAACATTAGAGAAAAAAATTTTAAAATAAATAATAATGATAAGTATTTAAAATTAGTATTACATATCACAAATTAAGAAATTGTATTGTTTAGTGTTATATATCACAAATTATTATTTATTATTTACATCATCATTACACACATGACATATAGAAATTAATTCAGGTCTGAATTACAGATTTTGGTTAGAGTTACTGCTGATCATTTATAATCTTGTGCGTATGAATATGTATGAAAATATTTATTTTCAGAATAAAAAAAATCAGGTAGTTCAGGAATTATAAGAATAGCTGTAACTGGTTTCTTAGCTTTTTTATAAGATGACACTTCTGAAAATAAAGAATTATTAGTAGTATTCCGCACAGATTCAGATTGATTTGAATCTAATCTGAATCCAACAGATCGAATTCAGATCAAATCTGTCAGATTCGGATCTAATTCAGATTCAGATTCAGATTCAGATCTGATCTGTCAGATTCAGATTAGATTCAGATCTGATCCGTCAGATCTGAATTAAAGCTGAAAAGTTCCTTTTCAATGAAAAGTGACGAATTTTTAGACTTCTTTTGAGCCAAAAATTTGTTTTTTTTCATTGAAAAGAAACGAATTTTCAGAACTCTTTTAGAACTGAAAAGTTTCTTCATTGAAAAGGAACGAATTTTCAGATCTCTTATAGAGCTGAAAA